CCACCCAGTAACCACCCATCACCACCACACAGTAACCACCCGTCATCACCACACAGTAACCACCCACACATCACCACACAGTAACCACCCATCATCACCACACAGTAACCACCCATCATCACCACACAGTAACCACCCATCATCACCACACAGTAACCACCCATCATCACCACACAGTAACCACCCATCATCACCACACAGTAACCACCCATCATCACCACACAGTAACCACCCATCATCACCACACAGTAACCACCCATCATCACCACACAGTAACCATCACCCACACAGTAACCACCCATAGCCCCACACACCCACACAGTAACCACCCATCATCACCACACAGTAACCACCCATCATCACCACACAGTAACCACCCATCATCACCACACACAGTAACCACCCATCACCACCACACAGTAACCACCCATCATCACCACACAGAAACCACCCATCATCACCACACAGTAACCACACATCATCACCACACAGTAACCACCCATCATCACCACACAGTAACCACCCACATCACCACACAGTAACCACCCGTCATCACCACACAGTAACCACCCATCATAACCACACAGTAACCACCCACATCACCACACAGTAACCACCCATCATCACCACACACAGTAACCACCCACAGCATCACCACACAGTAACCACCCATCATCACCACACAGTAACCACCCATCATCACCACACACACCACACAGTAACCACCCGTCATCACCACACAGTAACCACCCACACATAACCACCCAGTAACCACCACACCACACAGTAACCACCCATCATAACCACCACACACAGTAACCACCCATCATCACCACACAGTAACCACCCCATCATCACCACACAGTAACCACACAGTAACCACCACACAGTAACCACCCATCATCACCACACAGTAACCACCCATCACACACCCACACAGTAACCACCCATCATCACCACACAGTAACCACCCATCATCACCACACAGTAACCACCCATCATCACCACCCACACAGTAACCACCCATCATCACCACACAGTAACCACCCATCATAACCACACAGTAACCACCCATCATCACCACACAGTAACCACCCACACACCCACACAGTAACCACCCATCATCACCACACAGTAACCACCCATCATCACCACACAGTAACCACACAATAACCACACACAGTAACCACACACATAACCACACAATAACCACACATAACCACCCATCATAACCACACAGTAACCACCCATCATCACCACACAGTAACCACCCACAATCACCACACAGTAACCACCCATCATCACCACACAGTAACCACCCACATAACCACACAGTAACCACACAATAACCACACAGTAACCACACAATAACCACACAATAACCACCCACAATAACCACACAGTAACCACACAATAACCACACACCACACAGTAACCACACATCAACCACACAGTAACCACACAATAACCACACAGTAACCACACAATAACCACACAGTAACCACACCATAACCACACAGTAACCACCCAATAACCACACAGTAACCACACATCATAACCACACAGTAACCACACAATAACCACACAGTAACCACACAATAACCACACAATAACCACACAATAACCACACAGTAACCACACAATAACCACACAATAACCACACAATAACCACACAATAACCACACAATAACCACACAATAACCACACCAACACACACAGTAACCACACAATAACCACACAATAACCACACAATAACCACACAATAACCACACAATAACCACACAATAACCACACAATAACCACACAATAACCACACAATAACCACACATAACCACACAATAACCACACAATAACCACACAATAACCACACAATAACCACACAGTAACCACACAATAACCACACAATAACCACACATCATAACCACACAATAACCACCCATCATAACCACACAGTAACCACACAATAACCACACAGTAACCACACAATAACCACACAGTAACCACACATGAACCATCATCACCACACAGTAACCACACAATAACCACACACAACCACACAATAACCACACATCATAACCACACAGTAACCACACAATAACCACACAGTAACCACCCATAACCACACAATAACCACACAATATAACCACCCACAATCACCACACAGTAACCACCCATCATCACCACACAGTAACCACACATCATCACCACACAGTAACCACCCATCATAACCACACAATAACCACCCATCATCACCACACAGTAACCACCCATCATCACCACACAGTAACCACCCATCACACCACACAGTAACCACCCGTCATCACCATAACCATCACCACCACACAGTAACCACCCATCATCACCACCACACACAGTAACCACCCATCATCACCACACAGTAACCACCCATCATCACCACACAGTAACCACACATCACCACCACACAGTAACCACCCATCATCACCACACAGTAACCACCCATCATCACCACACAGTAACCACCCGTCATCACCACACAGTAACCACCCATCATCACTACACAGTAACCACCCACCATCACCACCCATCACCACCACACAGTAACCACCCGTCATCACCACACAGTAACCACCCATCATCACCACACAGTAACCACCCATCATCACCACACAGTAACCACCCGTCATCACCACCCATCACCACCACACAGTAACCACCCGTCATCACCACACAGTAACCACCCATCATCACCACACAGTAACCACCCATCATCACCACACAGTAACCACCCGTCATCACCACCCATCACCACCACACAGTAACCACCCATCATCACCACACAGTAACCACCCATCATCACCACACAGTAACCACCCATCATCACCACACAGTAACCACCCATCATCACCACACAGTAACCACCCGTCATCGCCACACAGTAACCACCCATCATCACCACACAGTAACCACCCATCATCACCACACAGTAACCACCCATCATCACTACACACAGTAACCACCCATCATCACCACACAGTAACCACCCATCATCACCACACACAGTAACCACCCATCATCACTACACACAGTAACCACCCATCATCACCACACAGTAACCACCCACCATCACCACACAGTAACCACCCATCATCACCACACAGTAACCACCCGTCATCACCACCCATCACCACCACACAGTAACCACCCATCATCACCACACAGTAACCACCCATCATCACCACACAGTAACCACCCATCATCACCACACAGTAACCACCCATCATCACCACACAGTAACCACCCGTCATCACCACACAGTAACCACCCATCATCACCACACAGTAACCACCCATCATCACCACACAGTAACCACCCATCATCACCACACAGTAACCACCCATCATCACTACACACAGTAACCACCCATCATCACCACACAGTAACCACCCATCATCACCACACAGTAACCACCCATCATCACTACACACAGTAACCACCCATCATCACCACACAGTAACCACCCACCATCACCACACAGTAACCACCCATCATCACCACACAGTAACCACCCATCATCACCACACAGTAACCACCCGTCATCACCACACAGTAACCACCCATCATCACCACACAGTAACCACCCATCATCACCACACAGTAACCACCCACCATCACCCACACAGTAACCACCCATCATCACCACACAGTAACCACCCATCATCACCACACAGTAACCACCCGTCATCACCACACAGTAACCACCCATCATCACCACACAGTAACCACCCATCATCACCACACAGTAACCACCCATCATCACCACACAGTAACCACCCATCATCACCACACAGTAACCACCCATCATCACCACACAGTAACCACCCGTCATCACCACACAGTAACCACCCGTCATCACCACACAGTAACCACCCATCATCACCACACAGTAACCACCCATCATCACCACACAGTAACCACCCATCATCACCACACAGTAACCACCCATCATCACCACACAGTAACCACCCGTCATCACCACACAGTAACCACCCGTCATCACCACACAGTAACCACCCGTCATCACCACCCGTCACCACCACACAGTAACCACCCATCATCACCACACAGTAACCACCCATCATCACCACACAGTAACCACCCATCATCACCACACAGTAACCACCCGTCACCACCACACAGTAACCACCCATCATCACCACACAGTAACCACCCATCATCACCACACAGTAACCACCCGTCACCACCACACAGTAACCACCCATCATCACCACACAGTAACCACCCATCATCACCACACAGTAACCACCCATCAGCTACCGTCGCCATTTAAATGTTTAGTCAATATATTACCGGGGTCCTGCCTCTCCCACCCTTGTCATTCTAGCCACTGCCGCGCGACCGGCTTGATTAAGACATTAGGGAACAATTGCTGCTAATATATCTCTTGATTCACACTTCTTCATTCGCTAGTTTTTGTAGTCTGCGAACCTCTTTCTGGCGAACCGTCCCCGAGCGCCGGTGGATGGAACCCGGGGCCGGCGTTGTGGGGTGCACCAGGGTGGTTGCTAGGCATATTGGGCCATAAATGTTAAGTAAGAAATCCCGGTGAGTGGGATCGGGGATAGTAGTAAGTGTTCCTTGAGTCGGGCGTGTTGATGAAGACATTGTGTGGTGGGGAGGGGTGGGGAGGACGGAGGGGTCGTGCTTGCCACACACTGCTATGTGACTATTAATGCCACTTGTTATTTACTGTTTCAAGCTCGTGTCACGGCGATAGGACACTGTCCGAGGCAATTATGGCGTATTATAAACGATGCGGCGTAGGGGATTAGCGTTGTGGCGGGGGTGGGGGAGAGATAATGGGGTGTGGAGAGGGGTGGAGGTTGGTGAGAGGTGGCAAGAGTGGGGGTGCTGTGGAGGCGGGCCGTGGCAGCGGGCGACACTTTGGACCCACAGTCAAGTGGGGCGCCAATTTCCTTTTTTTTGTTTTTTTTTTTTTTACTTCTCACATCTTTCAAGTGTTGGTTACATGAGCCGTGTCTTCTGGCGTCTTATCTGGTTCCTCGTGGAGCCAGTTGTGTTCTGCGAGGCTAAGAGTGTACTGTGTTAAATTAGTTTAAAAGTAATGTCAGTAGGGGAACCACAGAACCGTAGTCTCATCTATGAAGGCTCGAAGCTCGTACATTACATCCCTGCCAAACGTACAAGCTCAAGACGGTCTAAAATAGCATTTAATGCACCAAAGATCATCTTGAGATATCACACAGGAGCAGTAGTGTCTTGTGAATGGTGATAAATCCACGGGGTGAGAGAGAGTGGCGGGGCAGGAAGCGTGCGTCCCAACATTGCTCTAATTGGGTAAGAAGGCTGTTAAGATGAGGCTTCTTCGAGCACTGAATTTGTTCAGTAATGTCAGGTGTAAAGACGCAAACCGTTTAACAAGGTCATTACAGCCGAGTTCTTGCAGTCAGTAATCCGCATTTAGACGTTTGTAATGCGCTTAATTAACCGACTCCTCGGCTAATGCGTATCTTACAAGAAATAAGGCTATATGACCAAATTCTTCCTTTTGGCTGTGGTATTCTGTATGGCAACAGCCTCGCTGATGCCAACGCGCCCCAGGTTTTGACATTTTCTTCCGTCACTAGGATCTTCTTGGGGGATAATTGCATATTATTGCAACATCGGCACTAGGGTGGAGGGCTGAGGTTGCTACGAGTCCACTGGTGACCCCCCCAAATTGCAGTGGGAAGTTGATGTAGGAGAGTAGAGGGAGGAGTTGAGAGGCGTGGCGGCGTGTGGCAAGGAGCGGCCAGGCCCGGTGCTAAGCTTGTCTTCGTCTATTTCTTCACAAATAGTGCAAGTCTCTGCAATATCAATTATAAAACTGCAACGCGGCCCACTATGACGGCCCCGCGTGTAATTGTCCAACGTGTCTTTTGGACCTATTTATAGAGGGCGAAGAAAATGGGGTTGTGGAGGAGGCGGTGGTGTGTTTGTGCGGGCCGGCGCCCAGTCCTTCACCGCAGCATCGCCCCGCGCGTACGGAAGAGCGAGAGGGGCAGAACCTGCGGGCCCCGCGGTAGTTAGTTGAGTCGTTAGCTCACCCTTGTCACCAATCGGGCGGTCGTGCCCCACCCTACGCCTCGCCTCCCGCAACGCCTCCGCCAGTACTCTCTACCTGCCGCAGGAAGGCATCTACTCTACCTTCATACACTCTACCCCCGCGGCGCCAGGAGTGCTAAGGGCAGTCTACGCAGTCTCTCTCTCCAACGAGCCCGTAACCATGGTGGTTGATCATTCACCTTGCAGGATAAGGCAATTACCGTTGACCTGAAAGTGACGTCACGGCGTGTGGTGGATTGACCTCTTAGATAATCCCAGTGTCAGAAAAGTCAATTCTCCAAGTGTTTCCCCTGTTTTATCGGTCTTAAATGTGTGTGTCTCATGTGCTCGCCAAGAAGTAAATATATCTATAGATAATACAACCGGTTCGGAAATAGGAAAAATATCATATTGAGTCATTGGTGTTATGGTGTAGTAGTAGTATGGAAAATCAGTGCAAGACGGAAGACGTGTTGAGGAGCGCACTACCTCTGCTCGGCGGCCGTCTTGCGAGAAGTGCCGTCTAGGGCGGACATGCAGGAGAAGAAAAGTGAGTTGTTATCCCATTTGGTTTCAGCGTAGTGTTTGTGTATGTTATGTCAGCGCCGCTGAGGGCCTTACTGCGTGTATGTGTGTATGATTGCCTGGCTTACAAGCGCGTATGTCAGCTGTATGCGGTGTAAATACGCAACTTACGCATAGCATGAGTTGAACATGCTGTTGCATACGGATCGTCATGTATTAATACTGTTGTTGGGGTGGGCATATACTTGTACCAGGAGACTATACACAGTCATACAACTACATATTTACCCGAGACTATCATTACATACGCAGGATTACATATCCAAGGATATCATCACCTATTACCCATCATTACCGTGCTAAAAGCTCCCATTGTAAGCCAGGGAATACAGGCGAATCCCCCTCTAATTTCTCCTAGTATATCAGGATATAGGTCTCTATATACACATGGACAGTGAGACTAATATGTGTATCATGCACACATGCTCAACTATATTACCCAATTAGGTCTAGGTCGTTTAATATGCCCAGTAATTACCGTGATTGTTTTCTCAATACTTGAATCATTTAAATCCTGTACACCATCAAACTCCTTTTTTATTACCGAATATTTAATGCTATAAGCTTTTATTAATTGCTTAATGCAATTAATAATTGCATTAGGCACTTGATAATTAATGCTATGTACTTGATAATTAGTTAATGATATACCCTTGATAATTAGTTATTGCTGCGCACTTGATAATCAGTTATTGCTGTACACTTGATAATTACTTAATGCTGTACACTTTGGATAGTTATTTAATGTTACGTACTTTTGATAATTACTTAATGCTATATAATTATGATAATAAATGCTATATAATTTGGATAATATTATAGGCATTTATTTGGTCATGTTACATATTTAATCCCACACCTGTTTTTACCTGTTGCCGATTTCGCGAATCCTTCTCCCCCCCCCCCGCCCCGCCCCGCAGCCTAACCACTAGCCACGGATGTTATCATGCTATCAATCCTGGAAATTATTATCCTAGGAATATGATATCTATTCAAGGGTGCTTGATATCTATAGTAATTTTATGTTAATTGTTCTGTAGGTTTATCTTTGTGTTATCTATTCTCTGCAATAGATATCCAAGATGATATATATATTCACCGCAATAGACATCTAAAATTATATATATATTGTTCACCACGATAGACATCTAGGATGTTAATATGATTTTCTTTATACCGGGAACACTGAAGTGGAAATAAGTTTAAGATCGCAATAAGTATTTGAAATATATACAAACTTCAAGACAAATATATATGACAAGTTAGAACAGGAAATGGGTTAATTGGGTTAATTGTGGCGGGTATGTGTGGTGAGCCTCGAGCAGGTCGCTCGAAGCAACAGCCTGTTAGATCAAGGCATCACAAGTCAAGCCTGGGCTTGGGGAGTAGGAAAACTCTCGGAACCGACTCCAGGTATACTCCTGGTAATATTGGACCGGCAGTGTGCGGGACACATCTGTCAGTATACATACACATTGGGAGATGTATAATTCAAATTCAAATTCTTTATTCATTCATGTTTTGTATAAATTATATTTGAGGTCAATGTATTGAAATTTTATGCAAACTAAGAGGTCATAATGACATATAACTCATTATTATTATACATTGTATAGTCTGGTATACACTATTAGTATAAAGTATACTAAGCTGCTAGGATAGTGCATACAGTCTTGTATACCCTGGCCTTAATGACTCTCCAGAGGTTGTTAGACCTTCATGCCAACACCAAACTATGCCAGAACTTTCTGGAAGGTCAGGTGGCACAACAGGTGGTTGAGAGAGCATAGCGGGGACTCGAACCCTCAGTAATTGTGTATTTGTCGATGTATCGGTGCAACGAAGGTCTTGTGTCTTGTAACCTCGACGGCCGAGTCCCGATGGTCCGAGTGGGTGTAGGACACCCTGTTCCCGTGTCCCAGCTCCTTGTTCTCGTGTCCCAGCTCCTTGTTCTGTGTCCCAGCTCCTTGTTCTCGTGTCCCAGCTCCTTGTTCTCGTGTCCCAGCTCCTTGTTCTGTGTCCCAGCTCCTTGTTCTCGTGTCCCAGCTCCTTGTTCTCGTGTCCCAGCTCCTTGTTCTCGTGTCCCAGCTCCTTGTTCTCGTGTCCCAGCTCCTTGTTCTCGTGTCCCAGCTCCTTGTTCTCGTGTCCCAGCTCCTTGTTCTCGTGTCCCAGCTCCTTGTTCTCGTGTCCCAGCTCCTTGTTCTCGTGTCCCAGCTCCTTGTTCTGTGTCCCAGCTCCTTGTTCTCGTGTCCCAGCTCCTTGTTCTCGTGTCCCAGCTCCTTGTTCTGTGTCCCAGCTCCTTGTTCTCGTGTCCCAGCTCCTTGTTCTCGTGTCCCAGCTCCTTGTTCTCGTGTCCCAGCTCCTTGTTCTCGTGTCCCAGCTCCTTGTTCTCGTGTCCCAGCTCCTTGTTCTCGTGTCCCAGCTCCTTGTTCTCGTGTCCCAGCTCCTTGTTCTCGTGTCCCAGCTCCTTGTTCTCGTGTCCCAGCTCCTTGTTCTGTGTCCCAGCTCCTTGTTCTGTGTCCCAGCTCCTTGTTCTCGTGTCCCAGCTCCTTGTTCTCGTGTCCCAGCTCCTTGTTCTGTGTCCCAGCTCCTTGTTCTGTGTCCCAGCTCCTTGTTCTCGTGTCCCAGCTCCTTGTCGTCTCGTGTCCCAGCTCCTTGTTCTCCCGTGTCCCAGCTGTCCCAGCTCCTTGTTCTCATGTCCCAGCTCCTTGTTCCCGTGTCCCAGCTTCTTGTTCTCGTGTCCCAGCTCCTTGTTCTCGTGTCCCAGCTCCTTGTTCTCATGTCCCAGCTCCTTGTTCTGGTGTCCCAGTGTCCCAGCTTCTCCTTGTTCTCGTGTCCCAGCTCCTTGTTCTCGTGTCCCAGCTCCTTGTTCTCATGTCCCAGCTCCTTGTTCTCGTGTCCCAGCTCCTTGTCCTCGTGTCCCAGCTCCTTGTTCTCGTGTCCCAGCTCCTTGTTCTCGTGTCCCAGCTCCTTGTTCTGTGTCCCAGCTCCTTGTTCCCGTGTGCCAGTTCCTGGTTCTCGTGTCCCAGCTCCTTGTCCTCATATCCCAGCTCCTCGTCCCTCATATCCCAGCTCCTCGTCCCCCATATCCCAGCTCCTCGTCCCCCATATCCCAGCTCCTCGTCCCCCATATCCCAGCTCCTCGTCCCTCATATCCCAGTTACTTCATATGCTTTTCAAGTTCCATTTAGTCAGCCAGGCTTGGTTCTGTCTCCCCCATAATTACCTCACCTTGGTTGAGAGAGGATGTGCATCTCCCATTAGCATCAAAACAATGGCCAGAAACCTCCTTGACTCTGGTTACTCGTCTGTTGTTTTTGTGTCTTAAAACTGAGCTTCCTGTTTCTTGACCATCACTTGAACACAAGCAGGAGCCTCGCCGACCTGTTTTTCCAAGTAGTCTTAATTTTACCGAGGAATTTATATATATATTTTTAATCAATATTGTAACTTTTTTTGTGTAATGACATTTTCAAATTACAACCCTGCATGTAATCAATATTGTAACTTTTTTGTGTAGTGACATTTTCAAATAAAGTTAGATAAATATACACACTTACCAAAAGAATAGGGGTGGTAGGAGAAGAAAATATCAAAGTGTTTAGTGAGGATCCACAAGGTCTTCTCTGAGTACTCTTTATTTTCTTCTCCGAGGCTATGGGTCCCTACACTTGCACCAGAGGTATTTTTTAAATGTATTTATAATTTCCGGTTTTTGGAAGTGGGAAGCGTGGGATGTGGTTTATTTATGTTCTTCATCTGCCCTCTAAGCCAGCAACTACTTGTCCCCTGCATAGGATGTAACCCCACAACAGTTGCCTTGATCCTTGGTGCGTATTTTCCTGCTAGGTAAACAGGCGCATCAGGTGAATGGAAACGTGCCCAAATATTTGTGTCCAGTTCTGGTCTCTCTCTCTCTCTCTCTCTCTCTCTCTCTCTCTCTCTCTCTCTCTCTCTCTCTCTCTCTCTCTCTCTGCGTTGGTCGGAAATCCAGGGTACGACAATGGCCTGTAAGGCCAGGAGTCACTGTATCCTCTTATCTAGAAAGCAGCTACAGGTGAGAACTTTTATGCCACATATGTCAGACCAATCCTGCAATCTGCAGCGCCAGCATATTCCGTATATAGACAAGCACAAGACTAAAAGGTTCACAGGTATGCCACCAGATTAGCGCCCGAGCTGAGGGGTTATAAACTACGAGGAAAGACTACTGGAACTAAAACTCACATCGCTGGAAAACTGAGTAGTGGGGAGACATGACCACCACATACTTCTCTTTCTAGATTCTCATGGAAATAGAGTAGGTAAAGACATCATTTAATACTGGTGGTACGCGAACAAGGAGACACAGGTGGAAAAAAAATAAGTTTTTCAGTGTTATGGTAGTTAACAGGTGGAATGCATTAGGCAGTGATGTGGTAGAGGCTGACTCCATACACAGTTTCAAGTGTAGATATGATAGAGCCCAATAGGCTCAGGAACCTGTACACTAGTTAATTGACAGTTGAGAGGCGGGACCAAAGAGCCAAAACTCAACCCCCGCAAGCACAATTAGGTAATTTTATACACACGCACACGCCGTGAAACTGGAAAGCACGATGAAGTCCAAAAACATTTTTAAAACTTTAATAAAGGAATTTCGTGAGAAACAGTAGCCTACAATTTAATTTTTTCTACACAAATTTGCTCTGTGGGTCACAAATGATGATTATACATATAATATGTGTTTTCATCTAGCGTTTGCCTGCACCTTTATTTTATATAAAAATACAAAATATACTGATTATATAAAATTTTAAAAATTGTCATACAAAAAATCGTTTGCCAAGCCTATACTGATTGGTGCACCTGAAGCCATATATATATATATATATATATATATATATATATATATATATATATATATATATATATATATATATATATATATATATACTATATATATATATATATATATATATATAT